GACAGCACAGGGTTAGATACAGAATAAAGCTCCCTCTACACTGTCCCCATCAAACACTCCCAGGACAGGGACAGCACAGGGTTAGATACAGAGTAAAGCTCCCTCTACACGGTCCCCATTGAATACTCCCAGGACAGGGTTAGGTAAAGAGTCCATATCTAACAGGTTAGATACAGAGTAAAGCTCCCTCTACACTGTCCCCATCAAACCCACTGAGGATAGAGACAGCACGGGGTTAGATACAGAGTAAAGCTACCTCTACACTGTCCCCATCAAACACTCCCAGGACAGGGACAGTACAGGGTTAGATACAGAGTAAAGCTCCATCTACACCGTCCCCATTGAATACTCCCAGGACAGGGTTAGGTAAAGAGTCCATATCTAACAGTCTAGCACTCACCATGATGAAAATCGGCTCATCAAAGAGATCAGCAGGTGTCTCGTAGAAGTTGAAGAAAAATGTCTGTATAACAACAGAGAAGAAGGCTGTATTTTAGTCACATGATTATACAGGTACATCCAGGCAAGGAACATATTCCTGTAGCATCACATCAGAGTAGGCCTCTGCCGACCCTCCAGTGTACTCTGAGCAGCCTGGGCTGTGGCTAACTCACTGTGAAACCCATCTCCTCCTCTCCAGTGTTATCGAGTTGGTGTGTGACAGAACGTTGACCGCACCATTTGTACATTAATACTTTCACTTGAACCGAGTTGGTGAAACTGGAGTATTCAATACGAGGTCAGTCATTGTCAAAATTCAGCTTTCAACTGGAGGCCACTTAGAAAAAGGAGTGAATGGATATTTAAACAGGGTGGGTAAATATAACTGAGACTATTTATTGTGTTGTGGCTAAACTCCCACAAAGATGGGTTGGTTAGAATGGATTCTTTCTATACTGTACTCTGCTGTAAACCTCGACTGAAAGTAAAGAATAAATGAATTTCATTTTCATTTTGCTTCCTACAACCTCTAAATGGTGTAAAGTATTTCACAGACAATGGAGGCCTTTTGAAATGAGATTGTTCTCTGAATGTCATCAGTGATTCATCCTCCACTGAGTAATACAGCATGATCAACAGTTTTCTCATGTCCAGCTTCTAGATTGTTCAGCATAGGATGTGGGTGTCAGCATTTATTGCTTGTCGTTAATTGCCCTAAAATTGAAAGCAGAGCATTTCAGAGGGCGATTGTTGATCAGACCAGGGAAACAGCAGAATTCCTTCTCTGCAGGAGATTCGTGAAACTGATGGTTTTTGCAACAGCTGACACAGGGTCACCATTAGACTCATTTTTTTTATTAAAGTTTCACCATCTGCCTTGGGGGTTTCAATCCCAAGTCCTGAGAATGTTTGCCTAGGATTCGGAATTGCTCATCCAGTGACATTACCCCTCTGCTAACATCTCCCTCCAGAGCTGAAAATACTAGGTGCAATGCCAACCAAGGAGGATATTTTGTCCACTTTCTTGAGTGTTGTTGGGGCTGCACTCATCCAGGCAAGTGGGGAGTATTCCATCACACTCCTGACTTGTGCCTTGTAGATGGTGGACAGACTTTGAGGAGTCAGGAGGAGAGTTACTCACCACAGTATTCGTAGCTTCTGGCCTGCCCTTGTAGCCACTGTGTTTATGTGGTGAGTCCAGCTCAGTTTCTGGTCAATGGTAACTCCCAGGAAGATGATAGTGGGAATTCAGTGATGGTAACACTGTCAACACACGCTATCACTGAGTTAGAAGGTTCAAGCCCATTGCAGATTTGAGTGAGGTTAAGACAAACATCTCCACCCAGATACATTGTGCTGAAGTGTTAAAACACTGTGTGACTGCTTAGAGTAACGCTAAAAATCCTTCATCCTTCAGAGTGCCCAGAACATTAGAATTTAGCATCTTCGAACAGGAAGTTCATAACAAGGCAGAAGGCCAATTGGCCCATCATTGCCTGTACTGGTAGCATTTCGCAATTGCAAAGTTTTGAAACACAGTTATGTTTTCCATTTAAAAGGCAGTACGGTGGCTCAGTGGTTAGCACTGCTGCCTCACAGCGGCATGGACCCAGATTCAATTCCAGCCTCGGGTGACTGTCTGTGTGGAGTTTGCACATTCTCCCCGTGTCTGCGTGGGTTTCCTCCGGGTGCTCCGGTTTCCTCCCACAGTCCAAAAGTGTGCAGGCTAGGTGGATTGGCCATGCTAAATTGCCCGTAGTGTTCAGGGATGTTTAGGTTAGGAGGGTTAGACATGGGGAATGTAGGGGTAGGGGAATGGGTCTGGGTGGGATGCTCTTCAGAGGGGTGGTGTGGACTTGTTGGGCCGAATGGCCTGTTTCCACACTGTAGGGGTTCTATGAGTTGGAGTGGTGATAGCTTTGACAGCACTGCCATCACGCTGACTGTGACAGGTTCAAACAGCTGGGCGACCTCTCTGACAACTACCAATAAAACACAGGATCAGAGTGGGCCTTTCAGCCCTTCATGTCAGCTCCATTATTCAATGAGATCATGGCTCTTCTGATAATCCTGGACTTCACTTACCTCGGTCTTCCCCATAACTATTGATTCCTTTACTGATGAAAATCTGTCTATCTCAGCTTTGAGTATACCGAATGGCCCAGCCTCAACAGCTCTTTGAAGTAAAGAATTCCACCGATTCACTCCCCACTGAGAGAAGAAATTCCTCCCTGTCCCTGTCTGCGCAACATCTGAGATGATGCGCTATGGTCCTCAGTTCCAATGGGTGACAGATGTTGACCCATGTATCACAGTTATCTTCTCAGCTCGCTGTGGTGTGAATATTCTCCCACAATGTTCGTCCCCACTAGCATTGTCACCACTGCAAATGGGACAAGGACAGCTCAGCCTCTCAGTGAGTCAGCTCTCACTGTGGAACATGAGGCTGGGTCAGCTCTTGGCTCAGTGTGGAGTTATCTTGCGTGACCTTGCGTGGAGTGGTGGTGTGAGCAAGGCATATAGAGATAGGTATTTCCAATACCTGGCAGCACATAAAATGTATTCTCAGGACTGGAAATCACAGGGGTATTGTCCCCCTCCTCAGGGAGAACCAGGGGCCATCAAACTGCCCCACATCAGTTAACACACACTGTGCACAGGCTGGACCAGCCCCTTTCGATTGGAAACTGCTTCAGCAGCTCAGGCAGTGCCAGATCTACACCAGAACATTTTTTTTTTCCTTTGTTCATTGATGGAATGAGGGCATCGCCTGCCAGGCAGCATTTATTGCCCATCCCTAATTGCCCAGAGGGCAGTTAAGAGTCAACCACATTGCTGTGGGTCTGGAGTCACACGTAGGCCAGACCAGGTAAGGATGGCAGTTTCCTTCCCTAAAGGACGTTAGTGAAACAGATGGGTTTTTCCCCTGATAATCGGCAATGGATTCACGGCCATCATTAGATTGTTAATTCCAGATATTTATTGAATTCAAGTTCCACCATCTGCCATGGGGGAGTTCGAACCCAGATCCCCAAGACATTGTCTGGGTCTCTGGATTAACAGTCGAGCAATAATACCACTAGGCCATCACCTCTCCCTTCATGTAGCCCCTAGCAGAAGGACCACATGGATCCTGGATTCAGGTAGGGAGAGACTTTAGTACCTTCCTGAAAGAGGTTGAGGGAACCAGATGGTCCGAACGACAATCAGCAGTGGTCGCATGGATACGTCCTAGAAATTTTCCAAATTCAAGTTTCGCCACCACTGCTCCACGGTGAGACTGGAACCCATGTCCCCAGAATCATTCGCCTGGGCCTCGGGATTCTTAGTCATTATCACGAGCCCACCGTCGAATAAGGGCAAGGATAGAACTGTGTCTTACCTCATCAAAGACGGGATTATTTCCCTTACGAATGCATGTTGTCTTGGTTTGGCCAGCAACTGTAACTTTAATGACCGGTCTGATGTTGATACCTGGCAGTTGGCGTGCTTCAACAACACACACTCTGACCTGCAAAGAGCAAAAAAAAAACCAATCTGGTAAAATGCCCATTTCCTCTGGAAATCTGTTGTCCTTTCACAGGAGCAAAGGATTCCTCCCCAGCTATATAATGCTATTTCAGCAGTCTTCCCACAACTGCAGAGGCTGCAGGAGGACATGGACGGGCCAGGAGAGTAGGCAAAGAAGCAACAGATGGAATACAGTGTGGTAAAGTTTGAGCTTATGCACTTTGGTAGGAAGAACAGAGGCATGGACTATTTTCTAAATGAGGAAACGCTTTGGAAATCTGAAGCAAAAAGGGACTTGCACGTCCTAGGTCAGGATTCCCTTAAGATTAACGTGCAGGTTCACTTGGCAGTTAAGAAGCCAAATGCAATGTTAGCCTTCATTTCTATAGGGCTAGACTACACGAGCAGAGACGAACTGCTGAGGCTGTACAAGGCTCTGGTCAGACTGCATTTGGAATATTGTGAGCAGTTTTGAGCCCCATATCCAAGGAAGGATGTGCTGGCATCAGAGTGGGTCCAGGGGAAGTTTACAAGAATGATCCCTGGGTTGAAGGGCTTGTCATATAAGGAGTGGTTGAGGACTCTGGGTATGTAGTTGATGGAGTTTGGAAGGATGAGGAGGAGACCTGATTGAAACTTATAGAATACTGAGAGGCCTGGATAGACTGGACGTGCAGAAGATGTTTCCACCAGTAGGAGAGACTAAGACCCAAGGGCACAGCCTCAGAGTAAAGGGATGACCCTTTTGGAGCTGAGATGAGGGGGAATTTCTTCTGCCAGAGGGTGGTGAATCTGTGGAACACATTGCTGCAGAGGGATGTGGAGGCCAAGTCATTAAGACAGAGATAGATAGGTTCTTGATTATTAAGGGGATCAAGGGTTATGGGCTTGAGAAACATATCAGCCATGATTGAATGGTGGAGCAGGTTCAATGGGCCAAATGGCCTAATTCTGCGCCCATGTCTTATGGTGGCCTGAATGGTACAAGTGAAGAGGAGACGGGCAACATTTTGGTCCAATCCAGAGCGACATGTGAGCTATCACTCGGTCTCCATTATTGGACCACCCATGGCCACAGAAATAACCAAAACAGGCAAACTACATAATCAACCCAGTTTCTAATTGCTGGTTTGAAAAGGCACAGCAGGAACACACAGAATACCCATCAGGTTTAACATTGGTTGTGGAAAGATAGTTAAAATATTGTTACTCAGGGTTATCAGGTGGCACGGTAGCTCAGTGGTTAGCACTGCTGCCTCACGGTGCCAGGGGCCTGGGTTCGATTCCACCCTCAGGTGACCGTCTGTATGGAGTTTGCACATTCTCCCCATGTCTGTGTGGGTTTCCTGCAGGTGCTCTGATTTCCTCCCACAGTCCAAAGGTGTGCAGGGTAGGTGGATTGGCCATGGGAAATTGCCCTGTAGTGTCCAGGGGTGTTTAGGTTAGGTGGGTTAGACATGGGGAATGGGCCTGGGTGAGATGCTCTTTGGAGGGGCAGTATGGACTTGTTGGGCTGAAAGGCCTGTTTCCACACTGCAGGGGTTTTAAGATACAGAAACCCATCACTCCTGTGAAAGCACCTTAGGGGGTCACTGATAGCCAACTTACAAACACAATGCCAGACAGGAGTGCACTAACATTAACTTTAAAGATCTGACTTGCAAACACTTGCTCGTAGTTGCAATCAGCTCTTTTACATTGTCCTGCCTTGTGTTCCGACATGTGTACAAATCAAATGGACTCAAAACCCATTCACATCACAGGGACTGCTTTTATTCAATTAATGACACTCTGCCTTCTGTCTCCCAATCCCAACTGATCACTGCTCTTTCATTGAAGGTTTGTAATATATCTTCCAGGGACAGAGTGCCTAAGCATTTGGGCACTGATTGATGAGGCAGTTTGGTCCTACAAAGCTACTTGCATTTCAATAGCCCATTTGACCAAGAAAAATACACTCCAAGGTGCTTCCTAGGGTTGCTGTCAAATAGACTGATTTAAATGGGGAGAGATCACTGAACTCTGAGGCACAGAGCGATCTAAGAGTCCTGGAATATAAACCATTAAATGTAAAAAGTACATCATGTGTTAGGAAAGCGAACAGTATGTTGATATTTATTGCCAGGGGAATGGAGTTCTCCTGCACAATTATACAGGGCATTGGTAAGGCCACATCTGCAGTATGGTGTCAAGTTTCGGCATCATAATCTGACAGGAAGTTTTGCAAACAGCTCACATACATTTCATTTGATTCATTCTGGGATACATCCTACAAAAGGGCTATCACCTCATGAGGAAAGGTTGGACAGGGTGGGTCTGTGTCCATTGAGGAGAATGGAAAGTGATCTCAGCAAAACATATAAGATCCTGAGGGGACTTGCCAGGGTACATGCTGGAGGAGTTGGGGCGTCATGTTGCACCTGTACAGGATGTTGGTTAGGCCGCGTTTGGAATATTGCGCACAGTTCTAGTCGCCCTGCTATAGGAAGGATGTAATTAAACTGGAAAAGGTGCAGAAAAGATTTACAAGGATGTTACCGAGACAGAAGGGTTTGAGTCATAAGGAGAGGTTGAACAGGCTGGAATTCTTTTCCCTGGAGCATAGGAGGCCCAGGGGTGACCTTATAGAGGTTTATAAAATCATGAGGACATAGATAGGGTGAATAGTCAAGGTCTTTTCCCCAGGAGGGGAAACTGGAGGGCATAGTTTAAAGTGAGAGGGGAAAGGTTTAAAAGGGACTAAAGGTGCAACTTTTTCACACAGAGGGTGGTGCGCGCATGGAATAAGCTGCCAGAGGAAGTGGTAGATGCTGGTACAATTACAACATTTAAAAGACATTTGGTTAGGGATATTGATAGTAAAGGTTTAGAGAGATCTGGGCCAAATGCAGGTAACTGGGACTAATTTAGTTCAGTTTAGGACACCTGATCAGCATGGACGAGTTGGGCCGAAGGGTCAATTTCTGTGCTATATGACTCTATGATGGGAGAGACTAGAACAACGGTTGAAAATGAGGGGTCACACAGTGTG